CCCCCCCCCCACTGTCCCAGCAAGCATGAAAGCGTGACCCTGAGTTTACGGAACTGCCCACGTCCTGGGTGCCGCTGGGTTGAAAAGCTTTGTGCTCGGGGCCTGGACACGGGCGTCCTGTGGTTACTATTTGTCAGGCTTCCCGGACCTCCTGGCTGCTTGTGCTAAGAGAACAGGGAAACTCTTACGGGATAAAGGGAGAGACCCAGGAAAGGGTGGATTCACCAGTGTTTTCATCCTCGTGGTTCATAATTGTCATTCCTGAAGGCCTCCGCATTCCCTGCGCAGTGCCAGGCTGGACAGAGCCGAGGGTCTTGGTGGCATCTCCCATCCCCTGGCTGAGTTCAGGCGCCTGTGGCCAAGGGACTGTAATTGGGACCAACTTTTCTTTTACCTTCAACATAAACTTTAGAGGTGTCATCAAGTTAAAGGGATTTGTGTAGCCTATAGGTTTATTTATGGTTTATTTTCTCTTATGTAGCAATTGAGTTAGCAGATGAAGCTTGCACGGGAATGACAATGCTTACTGTGTAGTATTTTTCACATTTAAGAAAGGGAAACCAGCGTGGTGTTCCCTCCCTTTGTTATGAGCACCCCGGTACCCTCGGGAAGGCAGAAAATAGTACAGGAAACACTGTCTGCTGATTCTTGTGGCTGAAGTGGGAGGAATCGTGTCGAGTGTGATGACCCCTCCCTGCAGCCCTGCACCTGGAATAGAAGGTGTATCTGGAAGTTTAAAGAAGCACCATTAGGTGCATCTTCGAGAAGTTGTGCAGAAGGAATAGAGCTTATCAGGTCAGCTAAGAACTTCTCCTGGTAGACAGAAGGAGAGAGGAGACCAATGATGAGGACCTTGCTCCTTCCCTCCTTACTCAGCCCTGCAGCACATCCAGCCCAGCACCTCTGAGGAGAGGGGTCAGGTTGGAAGTGAACCATCAAAGAGAAGCATGTGGATTGCTGAAGGTAACTTAGGAAAGGTCTGATTGCTTAGGCCAGAGTTCTTTGGGGCTCGTTTTCTGGGTAGGACTCGTTCGAAGTTCGGTGCAGAAAGGAAAGTCCCGGACAATGGTTTGGCTCTTTTTTCTCTATTGTTGGGAAGGACGGGACCATTTTGATATGACCCCAGAGGCCCCAAGTGGCACTAGGCACACAATCTTGGAGTCAAGGATAGACGGGTGAGCCTCAGCAGGAAGGCCTGGGCATCTTTTGTCTTGGCATTTGCATCTAGGCTGCTCTGGTCCCCTCCCTGGTCCACCCCTCACACTTGGCCTTTTCTGTTGCCAAACAGCTCAGTCCCAGGAGCTGCCCTCTGCCTGGGAAGACCCAGTAGGGAGAAACTTAGAAGACAAAAGGCGATTAACCTTTTTTCTTGCAAATGGATGATGGAAGGAAATTGGGAAGACTTGATGTTAGGCACTCGTGTCTAGAGCCTGCTATCTCATGGAGAAAAAGTTTGGAGTACATACTGAAAAACATTTTTATTATATTTTAATGTATTATTATTGTATCATCATTTGCTGGTTTTTAAAATGCCATGTCTTAAAAATGATGAGTCCTTGTTTTCATATTTGTAAATAATTTAGATAATTAAAGTGGATTGTTTAAAACGATTTTTAGATTATAGTTTTACTTTCTTTCAGTGACATTGTATGTTTTAATTCACCCAGAAAGTGCGCTTTATCCGCAGAAGGAGGCGTTATCTTGTGCTGTCGGTGTTCTGGGGTTAGGCACTTGTGAGCAGGGAAGAGCCTGTGTGCGGTAAAGGTAGACAGTTGGACGGACAGTCCAGTTGAATTTTCTTGGAGGCCTTGATCTTTCAACGAGAGAAGGAGGTGGGATTAGAGCCGCAGAGACAGAGGAAAGTGAAGGTCCGTTTATTTTAATACTCAGACACGTGGAGACCATTTCAAGTGGGGGAAAGACCCTAAAACAGGCCCGTAGAAACATACAAACCCTGGCAGCCCTTCGGACAGGGTCCATGCAGGCAGCTGTGCTGTCACTCCCGGGCGCAGCTGCTCTCTGACATCTGTGTGGGCTCACCCGAGGGCTCCTTTAAGGACCAGATGCCACAGTGGCCTTTCAAGAGAAGTTTCTGCTCTGCCCAGCACCTTACTGGCCTGTCTTCCCTGTGGGTGGGGGAGGGAGAGCACCCTTCAGACGACTGAAATGCATGCGCCTCGGTGGGTACGAATCTGATGACGTGGATGCCCAAACCACAGGGCCGGTCATCCTCAGGTCCCCACCAGAGTGGCCTTGCCCTTGCTCCCTCCCTCTTCTCGCCATTAGAGCAGTGGGCCGTGGGGAGGGCGGTGGGCTTCCCTGCCCATCGCCCCGGGAGCCGAGGGGTCGGCAGCAGCAGTCCCCCGGGGAAACACACTTGCAGATGACCCCCAGCGCAGTCTGCGGGGCGTCCAGGGCATCGCTGGAGACGGGCGTGGGGTGGGGTGGGGACGCCGGGCTCCCCCGTGACTGGTGCAGCAGCAGGATCCCAAGCACCCGCCCAGTTTTCCAGCCAGTCCCAGGTTTCTCGGACCCCGGAGAATCACATCCCCATGAAGGCACTTGTCAGTGGTAATGCTCTAACCCGTTTACTCCCCGCACCTCGCCGAGAGAGAGTCACGCAGAGAAGAGGGCAGGAGGGTTTAGGTAGGAAGTCGGAGCACTGAGTCCTAGAAACCACGTCCTAGGAGGCCCGAGTGAGCAGCGCTGCAGGCAGGCCCGGTGCAGGCGGGGACCAGGGACTTCAGCAATGAGCCACCCGTGCCCCGAGCCCCTACCCTGGGGTGCTGTGCCTCTTCCTGTGAGAATGGCTCTCTCCTGCCTGCAGGGTGGTAGGAACTGGCCCGGAGCTGCTCCGTGGCATCGCAAGGAGCCCCCGGAGGGCGACTCACTGTCCCTGTGTTGTGTCCCAAGGAAGGGAGGTGCTGCAGCGGCCAGGCAGACGGTGACACGCGGAGAACTGGCGGGTCCAGGCGTCCCAGTGGTATTTCGGAGGGGCCCAGCCTCTGGCTTTGGCTCTATTGATACCGGTTAATCCTCCTTGGTCTTCTAAAGCTCTCTGACTTCTGGGGACAATGACTTCTGAATTTTAGCAGCCTTTACTGTCCCCCAAATCCATTTGCATAAGCTGGGTTTTGCTTCTGCTGATGCAACCGTCTCTGAAACGTCCATCGCACACCCCCCCGTTGCAGTCGGAGGTCCGACGCGATGGGGGGGAGGAAGTGAACGTCACACCCCTTCCATCTGATGTTCTGGCCTTGCGTTTAAATGGGGCGCGCTTCTAATTGCAAATCCAGCCTTGCTTTTGTTTGATTTTTTTTTAATGTTACCTGTCTTTCAACTGTTTTGTCTTAATTACTTCTATTTACCCCCCTTTTCTCCACCTCTCCCCCCCACCCCACCTGAATAACCCCTGGCGTTATTTGGGACGCTTCTCTCAGGTGTTCTGTTGCTTTTGTTTCTAGACCTCATGGCAGTCGGAGAATCGTGATTGTTCGGTTGCCTTTTTTCATAGCTTATTCCATTTTTGTTTTGCTTGCAGCAGTTTCTTGGTTATCCGAGCTCCTAAACCATTCCGTCTGTTGGTTGAGAAGCACAGATTCATAAAGGCTATTTTTATGTGCCCCCCCC